CTGTGTTCTCCGAGAATGCCGGAGAACTGAGCAGCGATCTATTACCGCTGGTTCATAAACGGACACCTTAGTCATTTACAGTCGTTTACAGGCAGTTGAGTTTACAGTCGTTTTTTTAACGCACCAAACTTGCATTCAGGAGTAGATTTTATCAGTATTTCAAACGCCAAACGCTTGTAAATGTGTGTAAACGTGGCTAACCACGTTTATAAGTGCTTGCGTTTGGAACATTTTTTTAACTCTTCCATTTCCAGATGCTGTCCAGAGCCTTTTTATAACCATGAAAAATGCAAAGCATTTTCCCAGTACTCAAATGGACCTGGTACACCATACTTTGAGGTTTCTCATGAAAGAAAATATGTTAGACACTGCTGCAATAATTTCTGCACAGAAATGCGCTGGAACACATCCAAACACCAAAAACAAAAAAAAAAAAACAGCTAATCTCAACAAATACTGCTCTCTCTATTTCTCTCAAAATGCCTGAAAATTTTTACTGTTTTTCAGTGCATTCTGGGCATTTTGGAAGGTTTCCTAAGGTTATCTTTAAAAAACACTTCTAAACGCAAACGCTCATAAATGCTAAACAGACTTTTTTTTAACCTACGTTTTCCAGCAGTCAGTTTCCATCATTCAGCAGTGTTTTCCAAAATGTCCCATGTACATGGAGCCTAAAAGTATTCTTTATGTCCTCATGCTTTAACGGTCTGATTATGTCCATATTTCTGTGCCCAAAGCGGTACATTTTTTTGCATGGAAATATGTATTTTTTTTTATTGTAGGCCTGTAGTTTTTAGGAATAACTCACTGAAATCTGTCCGAACAAGAGTCTAGTAAACATCCCGGGTAGGATAAAACTTGAAAAATGAAATCCTAAAGTATAATTTAATAAATAATCATAAAAAAATAATAATATAATAATAATAAATTTAATTCAATAATATAATCAAACCAAAAACACTGAAATTTGAAATAAGAGCGTCAAGTTCGCACATCACTGAGCAAAGTTGCAAAATCGTTTTCAGTCATTACCACTCAATTCTGCAAGTGGTTCTGATTTACTGTCACTGATCTCTAGCTGGTTTAAAATGGCTTTTGACCTAAAGGGACGCTTTTTGGACGCCATGGAATAAGTTTTCAGGCAGAAAGAACAGTAAAAATGCAGGCGGGGCACAGGACAAAGCACTAGGGACAAGATGTATGTGAAATGGTTTGATACAGTAATGTTTTACTATGTGATTTTAGTGATTTTAGTGAATGTCACTTTTCAAATTCCCTGCTGTTCCGTCACCGTACGTCCCGACTCTCGCAGGGGACGGAACCCAGATGATAGATGCCACATCCGCCGGATTACATTGCCGGGGACACTGCAGGAGGGACATCGCGGGAGCGCAGGACAAGGTAAGTGATAGAGGGATCCCCGAGCAATGCTGCAGGGTATTCCTGAGTGTAGCTTGGGGTTACCGCTTGTGGTACTGAAACTTTACCCCGAGCTACTCTCGGGAATACCGCCAGGGAGGCTACAACACATGCACAGGATTTTAATGTAATTCTTACCTGCTTTTTTTTTTTTTTTTACTGAATTGACATGTTTACAAAGCTTCCCGTACTAGGAAAAGAAAAGTGATGTGATGCATCAGTATAGACTGAGACATAATACATTTTCCCTCATCTATGAATCAGGCTTGTTAAACTTTGTGAAATAATTTTAGTTACTTACTGTGTTCTTGACAGAATCTCTCAACGTGGGTTCTGTGGAACCCCAGGAATCCTTTTGAGATTTCTAGGGGTTACTTGAGCAATAAGCAGATAAGTAACAACAGAAACACATATTCTTATTAGTTGTCTGTAAAAGTGGCATTCTCATTGAGCACCTATGTAAGGGGGCCAAAAAAAATGATTTATATCGATTGTTAAATATTCTAGGGATGTCACATTCTTTATTCTTTAGTTTGTTAAATCTACAATATAGTGATAATACACTGGGAACTGCAGATGTATTAATTTTAGCAGATGTTCCCTGAGAATATTATTTTGGGGTTCCTCTGGGGTACAAATGTCAAAAAGGCTTCAGTAGACTTTCTGTTATATTTTAGAAAAGCTTTAAGATGCTAATTCTCAGGTTTTATCTGGCCCCCTTGGGCATTCTCTAGGCTCTAGTTTCTAGCCTAGTTTGCCTGGTAAATGATCGATGCTTTGTACCCAGTGTTTTCTTTTGGTATTTGATGTCTTTCACTGAGGAAATTTATTCAGGTACCTTAAGAAAAGCTGTAGCATTTTCTGGATCTCTGTTTGCTAAACTGTATTGTTATACGATTTAGAATATAATAGCATGACTCGCTATATGTAGAAAAGATTCATTGTAGAATGATTCTGTAAAAAGTTTTCTTTTTTTTCTAATTTCATACAATCACATCAGAGACTGGTAGAAAAACCTTTGTTACCCAACAATCACTAACAAAAGTATGATTTAGGCATGGGAGGGCTCATGATCATCTAAGTCACCAAATACACACTTTATTATTCCCACTGATCCCCTCCTGTGTTCAGAAAAGACACACTTTTGCTACTTTATAATAAGTAAGTAGTTTATGATACGTAAAATTTAATATGTTTCAGGCCATACATAAAAAAAAGCTGGTAACTTCGTTATGCAACTTGAAAATATGCCCATGCCCTCTGGGAGTAATGTAATATTCCAATTCAGTTTTAAATTACTTTAATTATAGTTTAAATTTGTATGGCATATATTAAACTAAGTTTCCATTAACATTTATTAAATATTATTATATAATATTTTTTTTTAACGTTAGAATTTATAATGTTGCAGTCTGCAAGCGTGTTAAGTCCATGTCACAGTTAACATTTATGTATCCACTAAATCTTGCTGTGTACTCCACATCCGTATGTTCCTGATATTTGCTTGTCAGCCATTTCGATAAATCTATAGAAAGGATCTCTGTAGGTGTGCACAAATGGTGTCAAACAGGTATAAATGAACGTGTATGCAAGCACAGTTTGAAAAGTCTGGCTCCATTGAAATCAATGAAGTGGGCAGCCAGCAGTCAAATCAATCAAGTAACAAAAAGGTTATTGCAGTGATGCCAGTTGGTATTATTTTTACTTCCAGTAATTTAATTTGTTAACACATAGGAAACTAAAGTACATTTTTATCCAAAGAATTTACTTATTTTATTTCACTACAATAGTACAATACTTGGCTTTTCTGCTATTAACTATTTTTTGTTCACCTATAACAAGCAAGAATATATATTGTATATATATATATATATATATATATATATATATATTTTTTTTTTTTTTTTACTTTTTATTTTGTCTTGACCAAGTCCAGTCAATACACAGACACAGCCCCAGCTACTGCCTACATGGCATGGGCAGATTACTTTTAGTCCAAGCATAAAGACATAAAGAACAACATGAAAACCAGGTAGTGGATTATGCACATTTATACTAGGTGCAACAATTTAATTCCCGAAATGGACTGTAAAAAGAAAATACCAAACACCTCTGCATTCTGAAATTTGAAGACAACATTCTTTGTGTTATTCTGTCAAGATTCAAGGCACCATCTTTGCGGAAATGTTTTTCATTCCCAAGTCCTTCATTAGAATCTGCCACACTGTTTTCCTGATGTTCAATTCTTCTGCCATCATTTCCACACTCAGTCTTAGATCTGAGTGTACAAGGGTTCACACTCTGTCCACATTTGCATCCGCTCTTGTGTTTTTAGCTGCCCACTTCTTGTGTCATTAAGGACATCTTGCCACCTTGTATGTAAACAGCCTATGTGTTTGAAAAAACACTTGATTTCTTTGTGGAATGTTCACATATGCTTGTTGTAACAGAGCTAAAGTTTCACTTGCACTTTTGCCAAGTTCTACACAAAATTTGATGTTAATCTGCAACAGCACAATGCACACACATTATTTCTTATACTACTCTGTAAAGACTGAGTCAACTGGTCTGCAACCCAGGTGAGTTAGAACATGTCAAAACACACTTAAGTGCAAGCGACCGTGTGACTCACCATTACAATGCTACACTGCAGGCATTCCGGGAATTAACTTGTCACACCTTGTATGTGACCAAACTGTGGAGATATGCCAAGGCCTCTGAAAGGCTTATTTTCTATGATTCCTAGCCCTATATTTTATGAATGAATTAATGCATAAAATTAGACCTACAGAGGTAATAGAAGGTGAACATTTACCTTTGCCCAATTCACACAGAACAAATTTACCACCCATTCTGTGTGATGAATACACAATACACATTTTTTTATATAAATAAACTCTTAGGCAAATCTCTTCATGTTACATGGTTACATAGTTTATACGTTTAAACAAAAGACACAGGTCTACCCAATTCAACCTATGTGTGTGCATGTGTATATTTTTTTTTATTCTCCAGCTATTCCCATAGCCCTGTATACTCTTCTTCTTTAACCACTTGCCTACAGGGCACTTATACCCCCTTCCTGCCCAGACCAATTTTCAGCTTTCAGTGCTGTCACATTTGAATGACAATTGCGTGGTCATGCACCATTGTACTAATATGAAATTTTTATTATTATTTTGAGACAGATAGAGCTTTCTTTTGGTAGTATTTAATCATCTCTGGGTTTTTTATTTTTTGCTAAACAAATCAAAAACAACTGCAAATTTTGAAAAAAAAAAAGTTTTTTCTTAGTTTCTGTTATAAAATTTTGTAAATAAGTGATTTTTCTCCTTTACTGATGTGCACTAATGAGGCTGCAGTGATGGGCACTGATATATAGGCTGCACTGATGGGCACTGATAGGCGGCACTGATGGGCACTGATGAGGAGGCACTGGTAGGTGGCACTGATGGGCATTGACAGGCATCACTAATGGGCACTGAAAAGCAGCACTCATATATGGCACTGATAGGTGGCACTGATAGACGGCACTGACTGGCACTGTTAGGTGGCACTGACTGGCACTGTTAGGTGGCACTGATAGGTGGCACTGAATGGCACTGATAGCTGGCACTGACTGGCACAGATAGGCGGCACTGACTGGCACTGATAGGTGGCACTGATTGGCAGCACTGATAGGTGGCACTTATTGGCACTGAAAGGTAGCTCAGATGGGTACTGATATGTGGCATTGATGTGCACTGGTAGGCACTGATATGTGGCATTGATGTGGCACTGATGGGCACTGATAGGTGGCATTGATGGACACTGACGGGTGGTACTGAAGGAGTTACATTGATCATCAGGGCACACTGATCATCAGTGCCCTGATGATCAGTGTACATGTCCCCTCTAAGTAATGCCGATTGCTGGCTCTCCTCTCCTCACGAGCTGTCAGCGTGACAGCTTGTGAGGAGAGGAATGCCAATAAACAGCATTTCCTAATTTACATGTGATCAGCTGTGATTGGACACAGCTGATCACATGACAGAGCTGCCGTCATCGGCTCTTTCCATTTAACGGTGATCCGCTGTGTCCCGTGGGTGCGCACACACGATTACAGTGGGAAGACGTCTTATGACTTCCTCCCAGAATGAGAGAACCGCCTTGCGCCCATCATTTCCTTATATGGCAGGCAGGAGGCGGTTAATAAGATGTCAACACTTTTTTTTGGCTTGTTAGCACTCTCAGCTACTACCACTTTCTGGTGGAGGAGGTTCCACTTTGCCAAACTTTTTTGAAATCAACAATGTCTTTCCTGAGCATTGGTGATCAAAACGAACATATTCAAGATTAGCTCAGACCAGTGTTTTGTTAAGGGATAGAATTATTGATTTATCTCCTAAATGCATTAACTTTTACATGTATGACTGTATTTTGCTAGTTCTGTGAGCTGTGGCTTGGCATTGCATGCTATTGCTAAGTCTCTGATCCAAAAGGTAACCCCTAATCCCTTTCAAACACTGATCTCCTAGGGGAGCCCATCCTAATGTGCATTTTGCATGTGTATTTTTGCCACCCAAGTGCATAACTTTACATTTCTCAATACTGAACCTCATCTGCCATGTAGCCCAACCCCCTATACTATCAAGGTCTTACTGTAAAGATACTATATCCTGTAAGATACTATGTCTCCGCCCGTATCACAAGCCTACTGAGCGACATATCGGATTGGATGTCACTCCACTTCCTCAAACTAAATCTTTCCAAAACTGAGCTCCTAGTTTTTTTTCCCCCCAGCCCGTGCCCCCCCCCCAGACTTCTCCATCAAGACCAACAACACCACCATCAGTCCCTCCCCTCAAGCCAGAGTACTAGGTGTCATCCTAGACTCCAATCTGTCGTTCCAGCCCCAGGTCCTTTCGCTGACAAACTCATGTAGACTTCACCTCCCCAACATCTCCAAAATATGTCCGTTCCTAACCCCGGAAACCACTAAGCAACTCATTCACTCCCTCATTATATCACGCCTCGACTACTGTAACTCCCTCCTCATCGGCTTACCTCACCGCAGGCTATCCCCGCTTCAGTCTATCTTGAATGCTGCGGCCAGACTCATCCACCTTACTAACCGCTCCGTGTCTGCCACCCCTCTCTGCCAATCCCTCCACTGGCTTCCGATTGCCCAACGGATAAAATTCAAAATACTAACATTGACGTAAAAAGCTGTTCATAATACTGCCCCAAACTACATCACCGATCTGGTATCCCTATACTACTCAAAACGTACTCTCCGCTCCTCACAAGACCTCCCACTCTCTAGTTCCCTGGTCTCCTCCTCCCATTCCCATCTCCAGGACTTCTCCAGGGCTTTCCCCCATCCTCTGGAACTCCCTACCCCAATCCATCAGACTATCACCTACTCTCCTCACCTTTAGGCGCACTCTAAAAACCTATCTCTTCAGGGAAGCCTACCCCGCCCTCAGCTAATTACTGAACTCCTCCACTCTTCCTACCACTCCATCCCCCCACAGCTATTTCCTCCTGTACCACTATCCCCTCCCTCCTAGATTGTAAGCTCCAAGGAGCAGGGCCCTCGAACCCCTCGTGTATTGACTCGTATTGTTACTGTACTGTCTCATGTACTGTCTCCCATTATAATGTACATTGCTGAGCAAACTGTTGGCCCTATATAAATCCTGTATAATAATACTAATAATAATCCTGTTCAAAATGTATTTCCCTTCATAGTTTGGTATCATTAGCAAATACTGACCTTGTGATCTTAATTCCAATTTCTATATCAATGATAGACAAATTGAACAGCACTGGCCCCAACACAGAACCCTAGGCCACACCACTCACAACTATGACTATCCAGAGAATTAGACAAGCTGACTGTTCTTCAGTTTCCTGGTATACGTCCTGACCCTTTTTGTAAGTTGGTACCACATTTGTCATACGCCAATCAGTAAAGTGTCCTTAAAATGTATAAATAGCAGCTTGAATACAACTGAGATACGTTCCCTAAGGACATATAGACCTGGTGATTTGTTCACATTAGGCTTCTCTTGTCTCTTTTGTATCTGGTTTTCTGTCAGGCACAGAAGTACTTTTGGTGAAACATCATTAATACTACTGTTACAACTATCAAACCTGTTTTTTTTCATCTGTAAAAAACTGATTTGATGTGCCTTTTCCATCTCATTGTGACAAGATTCCCATGTCATCTGTTATGGTCATCTGTTATCTCTTCTTTCATAACCTTTTTCAATAACTATGCTACGTTAGTATAATGAACATAGGTGAAGGCCCTCAATTAGCTTATTGCATATTAAGCAGCGTCTATTCTATTACCGGTATGTACACATACTCTTAGACCTGTCATGTCACCTGATTTTTCCAAACTCATCCTTGCCCGTCCATCTTCAGATATCATCTCTCATAATCTTTACTTCAAGGCTTGTTAGATAAGAGGAAAATAGTAAAGTTGTTACAAAGAATAACGTTTGGTGCACACTATGAAGATACATTTATCTTTATAGTTGATATTGTAACATTATTTTCAAAAGTTAAAATATCCTACTATATATTTTGGCTAAACTTTAGTAATCTGCATTATCTGCCTGTCATCAAAACTTCAAAATAATTCATATTATGAAAAATACTTCCATGTTGAAAACTGAATATGTTTACGTAAACCTTCTCCTTTGATTATCCAGCACATGGGAAGTATTTAAATTAGTTTGTTCAGGAAAGCATAACTATTCCCTGATCGTTACAAAGTAGTTAACATTTGGTAAAATAAAAGGAGAATTTCCACAGTCTGCTTTAATCACATATAAAGTACTGAATGTCATTAGCAGAGCTAATTTGTGTATTTTATAATATTTTAGCAATAATAATGTATAATAAGCATGATATCAGTAAAAAGGAACATATAGATTCAATTATTTAAAAAAAAAAAAAAGACTGCAAAACCTTACATTTTTACAATCATGACTCCTAAATGTGATCTCAGTTTAAAATGGATCTTTCAGTAACTTGACATGTCTGCACAAATAAACTCTTGGCATTAAGGTATACAGATCAGGGCCATACACTAATGACATCATCCATTCATCAACCATTTTTATGACAAATTAATTGGCTTCTGTACATTTCCCCCCCCCCCCCCCCGCCCCCCCCCCCCCCCCCCTTTCCTCAAGCCTTGATATTTGCCTTGGCACTTATGTGGAGAGGGATGTATTCCTTCTCAGACCAGCACCTAGGGTGCCCATTGAACCGAATACACAAGAAGCTTGGAGTGACGCTGTCTTGTTCTTCTGAACTTCTGACGTGTCACAAGATACTGCAACAGTATAAGCATTCTGCTTTAAATCATTTCAAAAAAGCCCTTGAGCCAAGTGACTTTGCCTACCCTAATACAATTTCATCAGTCTGCTGCAGACAGGAGAAAGTGATTCCTCAGTCACCTCAACCCTATTAACCAGACTGTATCTCTTTAGCAAGTCACAAGGTTAGAAGCTGTAATGGACTGATCTGTGTCAGGCATTTGTGAACCCTGCCAAGAATTCACAAGCACCAGAAATGACATGCCAGCTTTGGTAATCTCTGAGCTAGCATTGCAATTTATGAAGTAGATGCTGACCCTGGATAATGTTTGAACAAAGATGGTGCCATCCTGTTGTTGACAAAAGTGGATGAGGGCATTGTCAAGGGGAGTACTGTGATCTCTGTTAGAGGTAACACGTAACTGTAAGTGTAACACCTACATATTGCTTAGCCTTGGCATGTATACATTTAACATGAATATACAGTATGTATTGAAGGCTAGGTCAACATTAATCTCAGTCATGTTAATAATAACAGTGTTTTTTTAAGAAACACACTGAATTTTTGTTGAACAAATAGATTAAACAATACAAGTAAAGCATGTGAGATTCTAGAAAAATTACATTTTGAAAACAGGAGAATTTCAGATCAGCCCAATTCAGATTTTAAAGGATTCAATGTACCATACCATGTTAAGTAACATAGAATACAACATTTCATAAGGTCAACTGAAGTACAAATAGTTAGTTACAAGTGAGACCAGTGATTGTGGGATGAGTTGGGAATGTATTTCTGTGTGTCTGGTTTTAGTTGCTAATAAAATGTAAAATGTATGTAGAGCAATTGCTAGGACTACTATTAAATTAAAGAACTATTAAAGAACTACTATTACTATTAAATTAATTGATCCAGCATCTCACACTGGCAGAGGTAGGGGTTTCACTCTGACTTAATTAGGTCTTTCTTTCTTTGCACAGCGCTGACAGTCTTAAGCTGGGTATAAACGGATCAAAAATCATCTATTTCAGCAGGAACTGGAAATATATCTGTGTGTGTGCCCTTGTCTGTTCAACAGAATCCTGTGGTTAGCCAGTGGTGTCTGTTGTATGGTTACTTGAAAACCAGCATTCAGTCAGCACTTGCAGCAAATGGCTGCAGCACTGATCTGTGTATTCTGACTTGGTGGGAGTCCCTGCTGTCAAAATACATTAGTACAGTTGGGTAGATCCTTGCATCCACATCGCCTGTGAGTTTTTTTTTTTTTTTCATTTAAAGCTCTGGTTGAACAAAAAAAAAAAGTAATTGTCCGTGTATACCCTGCTCAACTCATTAAACATGCCTACAGGAGGAATCAGCAGGCTGGGATGGGTTCTTGGTCAAGCTGTGCTGCCTAGCTACTTTGTAGGCAAAGGATCTTGGCTAGATGTCTGTCATGGATACCCGGATGACAAGACTGGCTGAAAAAAAAACTTTTCACAGGTAATATACATACATATATATGTATCTGTATTGTATTTAAGAGATTTGTCTGGGGTTTTAGCTTTAAGAGTCCCTATATTTGCATGTTTAATACATCTGATATCCTTCCTTTTCATAAAGCTGGTCTTAGTCAATAGATGACAGTCAGGGAGTTGCAAACTGTACATAGATCAGTGGGTATCTAACATGGCAGGGTGACATTGGCATGGCAATTTAACATGGTAACGTATGCCTGGCATTTCAGGGGAACATTAGCATGGCAGTCTAACATGTTAGTGTGTCACTG